CAAAGTATTTCCAGCCCTGTTTTGCGTTTAGTCTCTGTGTCTAGGATAATTAGCTTTTGAATGGAAGTGTAAAGCCTACACAGGATCAGAAAATTAGAGTAAAAATACCTCATTTGAAGCAATCCTATGATAATCTGATTGTTAGTACACAGCTTTCGCACAAAATTATTTGAAGGGACAAGCATGAAAATTTTTCTCTTATGATACCAGATCGTACGATTTTCATTTAAACAGCACAGTTTTTATCCAAAAATTCAATACAATACATCACTTTTGAATTTTTATTCTGTCGTTCAAGAATTTTCGTAACTTTAATGACTTCTTCATTTTCGATATGGAGACTATCATTCGTCTAATATTCTCATCGTGTGTACAGGGCTTAACTCACATCCACCTATAAGTGGGGCTCCATTGCCTTGCAGCTCTACCTGGAGCTACCCTGACAGGCATGTTCCTGGCCACATCTTTCTCATTCTGTGCATGCTCAGGCTTTATGCATAAGGTGGGCATGTGCAGTGTGACTTGAATGCTTCTCATTGTGTCTGCTCAGGTGTGTGCATGGAGCGTGCATGCACAGTATGGCTACAGTGCTTAGTATTGTGCTCATTGGATGCCAAGGCATGCTGTGTGGCCTGGGGTCTTCACTGTGTTAGGTGCACATGCGCAGTATGAGGAATGGGCAAAGAATCATGGAACATGTTGTTTTAAAGCATCATTTCATAAAAATTTCATGGTGCACACTCCAACATCAGAAGGTTGGGTAAAGCATGGCAGAGATGAATAGAGGCATTTGTCTATCAGTTAGTTGCATTGATCTAGAAACAAAACATCAATTTGCACTAAAGGTTTAATACGACTTTTGATGGTGGGTGCATGCTGCTGTGCGCGCATGCGCGGCCTACCCTGGCCGAGCGTGGTGACATCATACGCTGTTTGGTGGGACTTCAGGCTTCCCACGCTGGGATCCCTTAAGAGGGAGCCATTCTCTCGGTCCTGCAGCCAACACAGTGGGTCAGAGAGCGGGGGGCTCCAGCGTCATACTATCAGGCAGTCTTGGTGGTCAGGACAGGTGTGCTCAGACGATAGCCCTGATTGGGCTAAGGGGGATTTGTTGATTAAATTGGTCGGGGTTTTTTTATCCTCTGATTCAGGTATGACTGGATGTACACATGACAATAACCCTCTGTCAGGCACCGCCCGGCGGGATCTCTAGTGATCCACAGAACGGGATTCCCCAGGACGCGGAGTCTAAGTCCCAGTCTGCCTTTTCACCAGAGCCCCTGATGGTGGGGATGGACATGGTGCAAGACTGAAACCAGGTCGCGACCCCTGAGTGCACCCAACTGTGGTAGAGGGGTCCTGCCGAGGGTACGTGCCAGGGGGTGAGCCTGCTGAGAAGAGGCTGACAAGTCCAGGTCCCGAGCGGGATGGATGACAGTCAGGAATGAGCCGGGTCGGTAACGGTGGAGGCAGGTAGGTACTAAACAGTGGACAGAGAGCAGCCGGGTCACGAGCCAAGGTTCAGCAACAGAAGGTCCAATAGTAATATAACAACAGGCAGGAGAGTAGTCAGGGACGAGCCGGGGGTCAGAGCAGGTGATGGTCAACACAAATCAGGACAAGCAGGATCGGCAACAAGGAACACACTTCAGAACACGGGTACAGGAACTAGACCTTGCGGCAACCTAGTCACCGTCTGGCCAGTTTAAATAGTGCGCCTGCACAGTCATTGGTGCAATTGCCGTCGCCGACGCCCAGGTCCTAGTGCCTGCACATTAGTGCACCTAGGCAATCTGCATATGTGCAGACCTGTGCGCCACTGCGAGACCCGCAGTCCCTGACACCCTCTTACAAGCAGCTTAAATACACTGATATTTGGGTTACGTTTTGTACAATTTTGGATCTCTGTGGCTCTTTTGTTTATAGATAAAAGTCTGATGGACTACCCTAACATGCCTAACTTGATTCCAATACTGTGAGATTGTTGAACCCTACTATATAGGTTTTACTCTCTTGTTTTTCCTCCCTGTCTGTACCTAATAAGGTCAGTACTCTTTTTGTCATGTAGCGGTAACCCCTAGACACTGGAGTGGTTTATATATTAGTTGGCTATAACGCAACGTTAGCATACCTGATATCTTCCCTAATTACCCCCCTTCCTGGACTTTTCCAGATACTACAAACACTGCCCAACAATCATTGGTGCCTGTGCAGATCCTATTTAAGGTTTAATTACATCCTCTCCACATTGTTCACGTCATCAAATACTATTCAAGTGGCCTGTTTGGCTCTGAAATTGGTGACAATAATAATTTTGCAGTCTCCATGAATGGACGTTTAGTACAGTATTCTCTACCATCATTACAATCTATATCTACATTTGGGAAGGTTCTCATCAGGTTTTATTGATTGCATACCTTTTATACATCAGGAGACCCCTTTTGGAACTACTCAGTATGTGATATATCCTTGTGGGATCCCCCTGCTGACTTGCTTGAGACTCGGATGCTCCACACGCACAATAAACCCCCCACACAATCCTTATACTGTAGCCGATACTTCAAGGTATATACAGGATTTGTACAATGAGTAATAATTGATCTTACAAAAATATTATATTATGTTATACTCATATTCAATTTTCTTTCATGTGGTAACTCCTGAAGAAGCGATATTCTCACGAAACATGTTGAGTGACTACAATCATTGACATCTGATTTATGTTCCTTGATACCCTTACTGGGACACAGTATATCTGTATCAATTGTAATTAATATATGTATCTACGAGTTTTGTAACTGCATAGAATGTATCACCCCAATGTGGGGGTTTTGCATTGTTAGCGTAGTATTTTTAAGCATTGCTATGTAATGGCTTATATTCCAATAAAAAAGTGATTTTAAGGAATTATTGTTGCAGTGCCTTTAAAGTCTGAAATTTGGCCTCTTTTTTTCTTGGTTGGTAAGCTCACCCAGAACTAATGGATGTTATTTTTTTTTTCTAACTGTCAAAGCAGAACTTTTTGTGTTGTTGGTCGAAGGCCCTCTAAACCCTCTATCAAGTTTTTATCACTATCTGTGTCCCCACTTGATAAAATCTTTCTAAAAAGGGAAACCCCTAACTTAGTAGAGATTTCCTATCATTTCCTTTTGTATCTTCATGACACGTCGTAAGAAAAATCTCCCTAGCTGTGCACAGACAGCAACTAATAACCTGACAGGTGTTTTATTTATTTTTTTATTTATTTTATTTATTTCAGGTACTTATATAGCGCTGTCAATTTACGCAGCGCTTTACATATATATTGTACATTCACATCAGTCCCTAACTCTCAAGGGGCGTAGAATCTAAAGTCCCTAACTCACATTCATATATACACATACTAGGGACCATTTAGACAGGAGACAATGAACCTACCAGCATGTCTTTGGAGTGTGGAGTACCTGGAGTAAACCGGAGTACCCAGAGGAAACCCACACAGGCACAGGGAGAACATGCAAACTCCAGGCAGGTGGTGCCGTGGTTGGGATTCGAACCGGCGACCCTAGTACTGCCAGGCAGAAGTGATAACCCCTCTTTACTCAATCCAAATCTAGATTTTTGCCCATACATACACTTAAACTCACCTAGTATCTAATGCTATTTTTGACTTTAGACCTGTCTGATGTCAAATCAAACAAATCAGCAATTTTGGTCTATATTAATTTGCTTGAATATTTTCATGAATATTTGTCTAAGCTGTGGGGACTCAAACAATTTGGAAATCCAAGCAATTGTGATTTACAAACAGTGTAATTCATAATTTGACAAATGTTTTCAGGTTGGACATCTGTTTTAATGGTTTGTTGGACAACCAGATTTGCAAATCAACTGACAAATCTCATGGTAAGCTACTTCTATTAACCATTTGTTAAAAAAAAAAAACAATCTTGTCTGCTACTAAAGGCTTAGACCAGGGGTGTCAAACTGGCGATCCTCCAGCTGTTGTGAAACTACAAGTCCCATCATGCCTGTGCCTTTGGGAGTCATGCTTATAACTGTCAATCTTGAAATGCCTCATGGGAATTGTAGTTTGGCAACAGCTGGAGGGCTGCCAGTTTGACATCCATGGCTTAGATAATACCTGTCTTTGAAGGTAATCATGCTTTCTTCCCAGTGAGCTGTGGCATCCATAGGAAGCTCCTGGCTACAGATTGTTGGGGTTATGATCCTTGATGGTTTAGAGCCTGGAATATAATTGTAGGAAAAAAGATAAATACATTAAATGCACTATTATAACATTTATGGTGTCCAATTAATGTTTACATATAGACATTAAATAGACATCAATTAATTCATTCAATTTGTTGTTAGTGAGCCAACTGTTTCCCAGCTTTCCATCCAAAACCGAGCAGACACTAAAATGCCCATTCTGGCAGTACAGACATGCATCTCCATGTAGCAGACTTGAAAAAAAAACCTTTTGCTTCTAAATTGTAATCATATATCCAGCTGTCATCTCATGTCCATAGCCAACCTAATACTATCACGGAAATGCAAGTAGTAGCAGTAATATACCATACTAAGCCTTAAAAGCAAGGTGGTGAGGACAGGTATGGATACAATAATATTCTACCATGAACAGCCAATGGAAATTTAAGCTTACATTTTCCAATAATAATTCTTAATTAAGTCTTACAGTATATTTTCTTTAAATACTGTAGCAACCTTGGACTAAGTAGAAAAGCCTGTGTTCTGCCAGCATGTTACAACAGAGGACCCTTGCTCTCTGTGTGGAAGCATTGGTCTCTGTGGAGAGGTCCAACACAGCCACTGCTGACGCAAAGCCAATTCTCATTAATTTGATTGCAGAGCTATAGGTAAGACTCTGCAGGTGGCATGTTGGACCGCTACAGAGAGACCACTACCTTCACACTATAAATGGTGGTCCCACTCTGTAGTTGCTGGCAGGGGATAGGATTTTCTACTCCTGCAGTGGCTGCTTTCAAAAGAAAGCAAACTGTAAGACTTTGAACACTTTTTGGTTTGATGTGCCTGCAATGCAGTTCGCGGATTTAAACTGAAGGTTAATTTGGCCTTTAAATTGATGAATCTCATTATCACAGTCTGGATTATGATTACTTATGTGTTTGTTAGTAACAGAAATTGCTACAAAGTATCTGTTAACAGGGGCGGACTGACAACTCATGGGGCCCCCGGGCAATAGGGGATCATGGGGCCCCTGTGTCCTTGTCCAAACTCAAAAAAGCCTATGAAAAAGGTACCAGGGGCATCTCATGGGGCCCCCTACTGACCCCGGGCCCTCGGGCAGTGCCCGAGTTTCCAAATGGTCAGTCCGCCCCTGTCTGTTAGTATCCACTATAAACAATCTTGACAGAAAAATATAAGGCAACATTAAGTTTCCATATTATAGAGATATAGAGATAATTATTGACCAATAATGTGAAATTATTACTAATATACTGTATATGAAACAGAAGGTAAAAAAAAATATATATACAGTATATATACATGGAAATATTACCATACAGTTCCTGTATTCCCATGACGTCATCAGCCGGAAGGGTAAAGACCTCTGAACTATAATGTGTGTAGAAGGGAAACATAAGAGCCTGAGGGTTACCAGCGTGATCCAATCCCAACGAATGACCGATCTCATGTACAGCCACAGAAAACAAATTGTAGTCTATAAGGAAAAGACACTGTCACTCAAATACTGTAATATACATTGTTTAACCACATGCCCACTGCCCTATAGTAGAAGTACTGCTACAGGGCGGCAGAGCTGCGCAAAATCACATATATATACACGTAATTTGCATTTCTGAGTAGGGGATGTGTGCACTGCCCTACCCACGCCACCATTGGCAGCTAGGGATGTCAATCACCGGGTCCCGCCCGAAGATTCCCCACCAGCACCCGGCGATCACCATGTAAAGCTGACAGGGGAGAGACATGTGTGTAAACACAGGTCTCTCTCCTGCCAGCAAGGACATGCTGCTTTGTATTTCTCTGCACAGCAAAGAAATACAAAGCAGCATGTCTCCACAGTAAAACACACACAGCACACATAGTAAAACACACACAGCACACAGTTAACCCTTTGATCACCCAAAAGTTAACTCCTTCCTGCCCAGTATCATTAGCACAGTGTCAGTGCTTTATAGTAGCACTGATCACTGTATTAGTGTCACTGGGGATGTCAGCGGCAGTTAGTCAGTTCCCACCCAGTCTCAGAATGCCAGCTGCAGTCCCGCTATAAGTCACTGATTGGTGCCATTACCAGTATAAAAAAAATAAAAATGAAAAATTCCAGTATATATACCGCCATTTGTAGACGCTATATCTTTCACATAAACCAATTAATTTACATGTATTGAGAATTTTTTTTTAGCAAAGACATGTCGCAGAATACATTTTGGCCTAAATTTATGATGAAATTTGATGGTTTAAATTTTTTTATTGGATATGTTTTTTAGCAGAAAGTGATCAAATACCACCAAAAGAAAGCTCTATTTCTGGGGAAAAAAGGTAATAAATTTAATTTATGTACAGCGTTGCATGACCACGCAATTGTCAGTTAAAGTAATGCAGCGCCGTATCAAAAAAAATTGCCTGGTAAGGAAAAGGGAGAAATCCTCTGGAGGGCAAGTGCTTAATATTTCAACTGAATTTGTGTTGATTTTAATGTTTGTTTACTGTATATGTTTTAATGTTATTGGTGGTTATGAAATTCTAGGGCCCCTGGCGATGGACTCTCTATAGGAATATATGAAGAATGCATAGTAGTGTGGTGTATCAGAAAGTTTAGGTCACAACAATGCTTTGGCTGTTACTGCCATACTCTTGGGGCAATATGCACATGCTGAATGAGAAAAGATCAATTCCTCCATAAAATAGGATGCAGTTACTTTTCTGCCAATAACATTCAATCCGTCCATGGTGATTTTTTAATTAACTTTTATAGATCCAAATGGTGCTTGCACAGCCACCCTCAACTCGAAGTCTAGATGATGCAGCAGGACTTTGCTGAAAATTGAGCCATCTATAGGGGCCTTTAGGTATGAATGGAAAACATTGATGAAATTTCCCCTTTATATAAAATGGGTTGATCAGAGATTCAAAGGATGCTCCCCACCTAACCTCCCTCCCACTATAACCCCATCAACTCTCCCCTCCTCTGACCTCGCAACCGCCCTGCCCCCCACCACACCTAACGTCCCGCACACTATAACCTCCCCAACACTCCGCTCCTTCAGCTTTGCTACCACTGAGGAGGTCACTAAGGTCTTCTCAAAAGCCCGCCTCACCACTTGCCCCCTTGACCCTGTCCCCACACAACTCCTCCGGTTTCCCTCCTCCGCCATCCTACGCTCCCTCACCCACATCTTCAATCTCTCCCTCTCTACTGGCACATTCCCCTCCCCCCTAAAGCACGCTCACATCACCCCCATACTCAAAAAACCCTCCCTGGACCCCACCGACCTGAACAACCTTAGACCCATCTCCCTGCTGCCATTTACTTCCAAGCTCCTTGAGCGCTTAGTCTATAATCGCCTAAGCGCCCACCTCACTGGCAACAACCTCCTCGATCCACTACAGTCTGGCTTCCGTCCCCTACACTCCCACCAAAACCGCCCTACTCAAAATCACTAATGACCTGCTAACCGCCAAAGCTAATGGCCACTACTCAGTCCTCCTACTCCTCAACCTTTCCATGGCCTTCGACACAGTTGACCACCCCCTCCTCCTTAATAAACTACACTCCCTTGGCCTCAGAGACTCCGCTCTCTCCTGGCTCTCCTCCTATCTATCCCAACGCTCCTTCAGCGTTACCTATAAAGCTACCACCTCCCCCTCACTCCCCCTCTCTGTTGGGGTCCCCCAAGGCTCTGTCCTCAGGCCCCTTCTCTTCTCCATCTACACCTCCTCCCTCAGCAAACTGATACACTCCCACGGCTTCAACTACCACCTCTACGCCGATGACACACAAATTTACCTCTCCACCCCTTCAGTCTCCGCCCGTATCACCCACCTACTGAACGACATATCAGACTGGATGTCGCTCTATTTCCTCAAATTGAACCTTTCCGAAACCGAGCTCCTGATTTTCCCCCCCAGCCCGTGCCCCCCCACCCCACCCTCTCCATTACGACCACAACGCCACCATCAGTCCCACCCCGCAAGCCAAAGTCCTAGGTGTCACTCTAGACTCAAACCTGTCCTTCCAACTCCATGTCCAATCGTTGGCAAACTCATGCAGGCTCCACCTCCGCAACATCTCCAAAATACAACCGTTCCTAACCCCAGACACTAGTAAACAACTCGTTCACTCCCTCATTATCTCACGTCTGGACTACTGCAACTCCCTTCTCACCGGCCTACCTCATCACAGACTCCCCGCTTCAGTCTATCCTGAACTCAGCGGCCAGACTTATCCACCTTACCAACCGCTCCGCTTCTGCCACCCCCCTCTGTCATTCCCTCCACTGGCTCCCGATTGCCCAACGCATCAAATTCAAACTACTAACACAGACATACAAAGCCATTCATAACATTGCCCCAAACTACCTCACCGACCTGATACCCAAATAACACCCTACATGTAATCTTCGCTCCTCACAAGACCTACTTTCTAGTTCCCTGGTCTCCACCTCCCATGCCCGACTGCAGGACTTCTCCAGGACTTCCCCCATCCTCTGGAACTCACTACCCCAATCCATAAGACTGTCACCTACCCTCCTCACCTTTAGGCACACCCTGAAAACCCATCTCTTCAGGGAAGCCTACCCCACCCTCACCTAACAGCCGATCTCCTCCACTCCTCCTACCACTCCATCCCCACAGCCACTTCCTCCTGCACCACTATCCCCTCCCTCCTAGATTGTAAGCTCGAAAGAGCAGGGCCCTTGACCCCCTCGTGTTTTGTTACTGTATTGTCTCATGTTCTGTCCCCCACTATAATGTACAGCGCTGAGCAAACCTTTTAGCGCTATATAAATACTGTAAAATAATAAATAATAATAATAATGCTCGTTAATTGAATAATAAATAGTCCAACATTAGCTGTTACCAAACATCATTTGAATATAGTCCTATACACTTTGTGATTAAAGAGACAACCATCAAAAGAATTCTGTGCATGGGTAGGAATGGTTATTCATATATGGACATGACCTGAAAGTTCTGGAAGAGATATAAAGGATTTCCCTAAAATAAGGGATATTGTGGCTGGGAGCACAGAACAGGAAAGATGGGCCTCAAGAAGAGATCCAGGAGAAGGTCTAGAGGGATGGATAGGGGTAATGATATGGAGTATGATAATTGTCTGTCCCAGGTAGAATGTGCCTAGATTTGTATTGTAATGTAATAAGTGTAATTAGACATTTTTCAAGCTTGTATATCTATGTGTATGATATAATTCATTTTTGTACATGGAATTTAGACAATTGTTGTTGTGCCACTCATTCACTTGCAAGTCACCTACAATGCTTTGAAAAAGTTCATACCCCTTGAAATTTTCCACATTTTGTCATGCTACAACCAAAAACGTAAATGTATTTTATTGGGATTTTATGTGACCAACACAAAGTGCCACATATTTGTGAAGTGGAAGGAAAATGATAAATGGTTTTCCAAACTTTTTTACATATAAATATCTGAAAAGTGTGGCGTGCAATTGTATTCAACCCCCTTTACTCTGATACCCCTAACTAAAATCTAGTGGAACCAATTGCCTTCAGAAGTCACCTACTTAGTAAATAGAGTCCCCCTGTGTGTAATTTAATCTCAGTATAAATACAGCTGTTCTTTGAAGTCCTCAGAGCTTTGTTAGAGAACATTAGTGAAAAAACAGCATCATAAAGGCCAAAGAACACACCAGACAGGTCAGGGATAAAGTTGTGGAGAAGTTTAAAGCAGGGTTAGGTTATAAAAAAATATCCCAAGCTTTGAACATCTCACGGAGCACTGTTCAATCCATCATCTGAAAATGGAAATCAGAGAAACAGCAAAAGAGGCTCATGGTAACTCTGGAGAAGCTGCAGAGATCCACGGCTCCGGTGGGAGAATCTGTCCACAGGACAACTATTAGTCATGCACTCCACAAATCTGGCTTTTATGGAGCAAGAAGAAA